ATATATATATATATATATATATATATATATATATATATATATATATATATATATATATATATATATATATATATATATATATATATATATATATATATATATATATATATATATATATATATATATATATATATATATATATATATATATATATATATATATATATATATATATATATATATATATATATATATATATATATATATATATATATATATATATATATATATATATATATATATATATATATATATATATATATATATATATATATATATATATATATATATATATATATATATATATATATATATATATATATATATATATATATATATATATATATATATATATATATATATATATATATATATATATATATATATATATATATATATATATATATATATATATATATATATATATATATATATATATATATATATATATATATATATATATATATTTTTTTTTTTTTTTTTTTAAGCTAACTTTTATTTAGAAATATAAATAAAAATGTCTCACACAACTTGCATTTTTTTAACCCAACTGATAGGTTTGTCCATATTTGACAAAACAACGCAGCATTTTCTAGAGTGTTTGATCAGCGGCTCACAACAAGTCAAAGATGAGACATCTGTGTGTGTTTCTGTCAGATACATTCCTCAAATCTGATTTATTTGTTGCACAAAAAGCAGATTAAATGCAATTAATGACTTCAGTGGAAATAATAATAATAATAAACAGAGATATTTGAGTCATAAATCACAATTATTCTGATATATTTATACGCATTTATTAAAATGCATTTTTAAAAATAATAATGCTTCCAGTCTAAATTATGAAAGATATGTTGTCAAATAGGTCAAATCTAGTCATTTTTCAGACTGCAGATATACAGTATGAGGCTGAACTGTGATCCTGAATAGTCTTTTATCCCATATAGAAATCTGATATATTGCTCTATATGCAAATTGCAGATACTGTAAATGGTTTAGGAGTTAGATCAAGCATACTGTATGTTTGCAACACATATTTAAAACATTTACTAAAGGCATTTTACATGTATTTGTTTAAACAGTTGGCAAATATGCACATGTATGTTCATAAATACACTGTTTTTATTTCTTACACTTTACATAAGCATCTTTTGTTCTTCTTTATTTACACCATTGTGTGTGAATAACAGTGTGTTATATATATTATATATATTGTATATCACATAATTTACATTTTTTTAACTCAATTGCTGGGTTTGTCCATATGTGACACAAAACAACCCAGCATTTTCTTGTGTTTGATCAGCGGCTCACTATATCAGGTCAAAGATGAGACATCTGTGTGTGTTTCTGTCAGATGCATTCCTAAAATCTGATTTATTTGCACAGAAAGCAGATTAAATTAATAACTTTTGTGGAAAAAAACAGACATATTTGAGTCATAATATCAAATTACAATTATTCTGATATTATGCACTTCTTGAAATGCATTAAAAATGCTTCCAATCAAATGTATGAAAAACATGTTGTCAAATATGTCAAATCTAGCCATTTTTAATAGTCTTTTTCACCCGTATTGAAATCTGATATATTGCAATATATGCAAAGCACATTTATAAAAGGCATAGAAGTTAGATTTTACATATATAAGACATACTGTATGTATGCAACACATATTTACAAGATTTCCAAAATGGCATTTTACATTAATTAGTTTAAACAATTGGCAAATATGCACATATAGGTTCAAAAATGCACTGTTTTTATTTCTTATACTTGTTTTTTATGTCTCTTTTGTTCTTCTTTATTTACACCATTGTGTGTGAAATGTTATATGTAAATGTCTCGCATAACTTACACTTTTTTTTTTAACTCAATTGCTGGGTTTGTCCATATGTGACACAAAACAACCCAGCATTTTCTAGAGTGTTGATCAGCGGCTCACTATATCAGGTCAAAGATGAGACATCTGTGTGTGTGTTTCTGTCAGATGCATTCCTAAAATCTGATTTATTTGCACAGAAATTAAATTAATAACTTTTGTGGAAAAATAGCAGACATATTTGAGTCATAATATCAAATCACAATTATTCTGATAGTATGCACATCTTGAAATGCATTGAAAATGCTTCCAATCAAATGTATGAAAGACATGTTGTCAAACAGGTCAAATCTAGCCATTTTTTCAGATTGCAGATTCATAGGGTTGAACTGTGATCCTGAATAGTCTTTTAGCCCATATAGAAATCTGATATATTGCTCTATATGCAAATTGCATATACTGTATATGGTGTAGTAGTTAGATCAGACATACTGTATGTTTGCAACACACATTTAAAACATTTACAAATGGCATTTTACATGTATTAGTTTAAACGGTTGGAATTTCAAATACGCACATATATGTTCACAATATATCTGTTCATATATACATATATATGGTCATAAATCAGATTTCCGAATGCGTTTTAAATGGCAGTATTTGCTTGGTGACATATAAACTATCGTCGCGCTCAATAAGATTTCAGCGCCTGCGTGTCGTCTATAAATCACTGTCAAAATCTATGATTCTTTCTCTTTTCAATTTGCTCTGAAAGAAAAAAGCACACTCATTTTATATAATCGCCTTTTCGTTTACTTTCGAGTGATCAAGAAGTAGACCCGAGCTGTCTCCGTGCTCAAATAAATGTGCAATAATTCCTAAAAAGCATCAGAAGTTGCGTGCGTCCGCGCGGGTTTGACTGGAGCGCTCCTGCAGAAGGTGCTGTGCGAACGCGCATTTCAGCGTCCTGTCAATAAAGCAGTCCACGAGCGCACAGATCTGCGCGTTTTTTATTAATCCACCCTTCTCTCCTCTCTCCGAGTTATTGATCGGTCGCTTTTCGGATTGTCGCCGGCCGGACACTTGGAGAGACTTTTTGTTGATCTGAACGCGTGAGCGAGCAGCGCGCAACCGGACACCTGCGCGTCCGCTTCGGCTCGTGCAGAAATGTTCCTCTGATCCCACAGACTCTGAGTGGAATTTTTGGGGGCTCGATCGTGCCGTGGGTCCGTTTGTGTGCGTGTGTGTATGTGTGTGTGCGCGTGCGTGTGTGTTTCTGAAGACCAGACACGCTCCTCCTGATCGGGTGTTTTCTCATTGCGATCTGTTTCCATGTTTTTAGGTTTATGTGATATTTTCTAAAAAAAAAAAAAAATGCATCATCACCATCATCATCATCACCATCATCATCAGAGAATGGCCGCTTTAGGGACGGATAAGGAACTCAGCGATTTACTGGATTTCAGCGCGGTAAGTCACTTCGCGTTTCTCCACGCCGGAGATCACACACACACACACTGTACTTTCTGTGCTTTTGTCACATTGCATTGTGTTAGAGTGCGCAAATTGATCTGTAGAAGTGTTTAAAGATGACTTTTGTGCAATCTAAAACTCAAACAAACAGAAAGTTGTGGTTTTGATAGATGTGATGTTGCTGCATTAGTAATTCTGTTGTCTTATAGATGCGAAACAGCGATTTGAAAATGTTCCCCACGTCAATGGTAGTATATCCCACTTTATTCTTGTGTTTTCTTTCTGTTTGCTCTTTCATAGATTCGTGTACATGTTGTGTTGACCCTTGACAGAAAGTTTAAACCGGAATTCTGATGGAATTTAGAACGTGATCGAATCTTGCAGCGCCCCCCCCCCTCCCCTTTGATCTGTCACTTTGAAATTCCATCAGAATTCCTTAATGTTTAGAGTAGATTCTTCTTCTTCTTCTTCTTCTTCTGATGATGATGATGATGATGATGATGATGGTTGAGTGACAAAAGAGCTTAAATGTGCATCCTGTGAGAAATGGCAAGTTTTGACTCAGGAAATGTGCCTTTCAGCCTCACTTTCCAAAAATATTCCAAGCAGACTGTAGACTTTGACTTGTGCAGTCACATCTGAGGTCATATTATCAATCAAATGCAGAGAGAGCTGATGCATGCATGTTAATACCGCAGGGAATTGAGCATGTTTCAAATCAAATGTGTGTGTTTGTAAGGTTTTTTTCCAGCTTGTAACGTGTTGTCATCTCTGTTTGTAGATGTTTTCTCCTCCTGTCAGCGGCGGGAAGAACGGACCCACGTCTCTAGGAAGTGGACACTTCTCTGGATCAAGTATGTCAATGCATGTGCTTCTCTCTTCATCATGAGCTTGGTTTAAATATGCACATGTGTAATATAAAGGAAGCTTCAAGGGATAGTTCACCCAAAAAGGAAAAATGCCTCTTTATTTGATGCTTTTAAGCTTCATGAGAAACACAAACAGTTTTATTTTTATTAATGCTGATTGACGGCACACATTCACTTTTGTGATAGAAATAAAACACAATGCATGCCATCAGTCTTCAGATATTTCTCTTCAGCAGAAGAAAGAAACTCAAGTTGAAGTGTGAGTTTTCATTTTTAAAGGTGAACTATCCCTTTTAGGTGTGTGCAGATGTTTGCCCTATTAAAACACACAACTTCAGGTGTGTGTGTGTGTGACATGCAAGTCACAGTTGACGCGCTGTGAGGATTACGGTGATTGTTGTGGCAGATGTTGGTGTTTGAAATGCTGCGCGGCGGCTTGTTTTTCTGCACAAACACACTCATGCATAATTTGTGCAATACGGACGCCACACCTGCAGGGGCCAAAGTGTGTGTTTTAGAGCACACACTGCACACACACACACATGCACAAAAGCTGATTTTGAAATTTGCGCACACAACTAAAAATAAACGACCTCCACCCTGGAAGTGGATTGAGGAAGTGCTGCGGCTCATTCCTGCGCATGCATCATTTCCCCGCGGTGCATTGATATGGTGACGCGCCAGCGCAGATGGAGGCTGAGAGAGAGAAAAAAAAGAAGCGTTTGTCAGTGTCACGGCCCGTGTTTTCAATGCCTGCTATTGTTTTCTGCAGACTTGAGTGTTGTTTAGGGTTCGATAATTTGCATGCCGCCCCCTTCCCCCTTCTTTAGCCCCCCAGATCCTGCGCTTTCGCCTGAATTGCGTCGCAGTTTTACGCTGTTGGAAAGTCGGCCACCAGGATGGAGGGGGGTCTCAAAACTACAGCTAGTCTGTTGCCATGCAACTTGGCTCAGAAAAAAACACAACACACTAGGAAACATTTCATAAAGTGTGAAGAAGAAATACATTCAATAAATAACATGCAAACGTGTGGGCACGCTGCTAAATTTACAGTACGGATTATTTCCCCGTTGCCCGTTTCCAGTGCCAGTCTCTAGACTCAACGGCGTACGTTTGTTCTGCTAACAGCCGTGGCTTATTAAGCCACCGTTTCAAATAAAGTGGGTTTATTTTAATAGCAGGACGACAGAATAAAAAAAAAGTGCACGGCTCTGTTTTGGTTCTGCTTGTCAGTCAAACGCATTAAAGCGCAGACATGAAGATTCTCCTCCCACAATCCCCAACACTTCCACCAGCGGCTTTTTGTCTTTCTCTCGGAGGCGGAGATGATGCACAGCCACAGAAAAACCCTTTAATTGTGCGTCAGATTAGGAATTAATGAGCGTTTTAGCTTGTAATATTGCTACTATTTGCTATCTAATGCTAATAATGAGTCTGCTTGCAGGAGTCTGCGTTTGCTGGGGTGTTGGTTGGCGTGAGAACATTTATTTTTGTGAGATTAAAAAGTTTGGAAGTTGACCGGAAGCTGATAGATTTGCTGTTTTTTGGATGTTTTTTAATGCTCATATTTCTTAAAGTTCTATATAAATAAAACATGATGCAAGAAGAAGTCATGATAACAAAATATTTGATGCTATTTTAGCTTATTTCAGCTCCTTTGTTTTTAGTTAAACTCAGTTTAACTTCATATCTTTAGTCTGTTTGGCTGATGTGAGTTGGGATGAATTGTATTTGATGCAAGTAAAAAGTTGATATTTTTTCTGTGTAGTTTATATAATTAGCACATTTTCACAGATATTATTATTAAATCATTTAAATGAGCAAATAAATAACTGTATTCACTCATGCTCGTATGATATTGGGAAATAATCTGTGTGCATGCCATATGCTGTACATGTTTATGACGGAGAGATTTGTTTTTAACACATTTTGAACAGTATTTTTAATAAACTCATTTCTAATAACTGATTTATTTTCTCTTTGCCATCATGACACATAATATTAGACTAGATTTTCTTCAAGATACTGGTATTCAGCTTAAATCGACATTTAAAGGCCTAACTAGGTTAATTAAGGTTAATTAACACTCATATATATATATATATATATATATATATATATATATATATATATATATATATATATATATATATATATATATATATATATATATATAAATATAGACATACATGAATCTAAATCTGGATCTAAACATATTTAAAAACATACAAAAATGAATCTAAAATTAGAAAAAGTAACCTAAATGTATATGTTATGAAAAAGCAAATAACATTTTCAAGAGAAGCAAAAATATATACAGTATTGTTGAAATG